CGAGTGCACTGAGTGTATCTAGCGTACCAAGTGTACCAAGTGCACCGAGTGTATCTAGCGTACCAAGTGTGCCAAGTGCACTGAGTGTATCTAGTGTACCAAGTGTACCAAGTGTACCAAGTGCACCAAGTGTATCTAGCGTACCAAGTGTACCAAGTGCACCAAGTGTATCTAGCGTAGCGAGCATACCAAGTGTACCACGTGTATTGAGTGCACCAAGTGCACCAGGGGTATCTAGCATACCAAGTGTACCATGTGTACCAAGGGTACTAAGTATGCGAAGTGTACTGAGTGTACCAAGGGTATCTAGGATACCGAGTCTACTGGGCGTACCAAGCATACCGGACGTACCAAGCGTACAGAGTGCACCGAGTGGACCGAGTGTACTGAGCATACCGAGTGTACTGAGCATACTGGGCGTACCAAGTGCACCAAGTGTATCTAGCCTACTGGTATGTTCTTCATAGCTGAATGCCATATAGTCGCCTAGTTAACCCCTTCATGTAAGCTACATCTTCTGTCCACTTACTAGCAAGTATGTCATCACTCCATTCACTTTCATTTACTTCCATTAACCTACGTTCACTTTCATTTACCTTCGTTCACCTCCATTCTGTACAGATGGAGAAAATTTGGGTTAAAGAAGATTAAACATAATGCACGCTTATAGAGATGGCCAGGGAGAATGCAAACGATGGACACAAAAAAATTGAACTATTAAAAGGTGCTCGTTTTGGTCAGCAACAGACCAAAAGGAGTGCGGCCTCTGGGAATGAGAATGTTGCGTCAGCTTGACCACGTAAAATATAAACAACTCTATAATAACTTGCAAATCTGGTTCCATTTTAAATGTTTTATTCATTGTGTTTCACAAAATGCAAAGTAAAAACGGACATGCAAAACAAAATAAGAGAAAGCCAGAAAGACAATCCCAAAAGAAAGAGAAAATCAACTCCATGTGGCTTTTGTGTGCTTTGTTTGATCTTATTTTATCAACCTCGTTCCCAGGGTCTCTCATCTTACCGCCCCCTGGAACGAGCGAAGAGAGACCCTGGTTGGGTCTGGTCATGTGCCACTTTGACAATTGAGAACATCACGGAGGGGTCCTCTGTAATCAGCAGTTTGTCGCATTGAGCTTTGTCGCGCACTGCGACCGCCACATTACCCGCGGCGTTTACCAATACTTAGCTTTCAGGCTGAAATTTCGAATAATATCTGTTCCAACATTTACCTAAAGGTTAAGCAAGTCTGTCTCGAGGCAATTTAGTGGTCGTAAT